TTAAGTACTAGACAATACTCTCACGTAGCTTATCTGCGATTGCGCCATTTTCACTTTGTAGCCTTTCCTGTTGAGAGGTAGTGGGAACAACATGGCCTAAAACCGCCGCTCAGTGATTCACAGTGAACTACAAAGGTTACTACTTGAACTAAAACTTAAAACATCGATAACGTCACCAAGTGCTTGGGAGTAGAGATGAACAATGATCAAATCGTAGCATCAAACATGATCCAATAATTATCAAAATATGCGAATTATGCTAGCATTGCTACTTGACCGAAATTATGCCAGTTTGCTCAAATTATGCCAAAAATTATGCTAGCATAATAAGGCCTAGGCGAGAATCAAAACATTTAAGCGGACCCCTGAGGAAACATCCCCACAAAAAGTCAAAGGTATTTCAAATGGATCAATCAAAGTTGATTTGATAAAAGAAGTAAACGTTTTCACAATACAAAGAATGCTACCCGGAGCATCAGGTGGTTTTTACTCTGCGAGTTATACACAGTTCCCGCTACAATTCCCAAAATTCCCTGAGTCTGAAAATCACTTAGCGGAGAAAAAGCAACATTCAAGTATGTATGTATGTATGTAAATCTTTATTTAAACACGGAAAATCATCAGTTACATAATAAAAACTAAGGTTAATCAACTGCTTTACATGATTGCCGTGTGGGAATCCTAGATATCGACAACGTTAAGACTTCGCCTAAAATGGTTAATGAATGAGGCATTTTTTAAGTTTTTGGACAATTTATCCCATAACATGGCCCCGCTGTAAGAGAAGCTTCGTTTCAAATAATTGGTGTTTGGTTTGGACAAGGCCAGCCTTCCTTCAGAGTTTCTTATGTCGTACACAGAGTGACGCTGAGAGAAAAGACTTTGTAGATATTCCCACTCGAATAATTTGCGTCCAAAAAGGATCGAGAACGATACACCGTGTCCTGCGTTTCTGCGTCCAGTTCAAATTACATGAGAACTGAAATGTGGGCTAGGAAGTAGATAGTAACACTGGAGTGGGGATGGTAAAAAGGGGCATCATTATATCTTCCACTGTCAGTATAATGGGAAAAAACAGCATATACTATAAGGGGAGGATCACTTAAATGCTCGTTTGTTGCAACAAAAATCCTCCCCACCCACCCC